TTGTCAGCCACTACTCCCAAGCAGTGAATAAACCCAGAGAAAGAGAACCCCCTTCCCCAAAAGACCGGAGAGACGGATGGGCTGCAGCGAGCATGCCAAGAGACAACCAGGTCCTCACTCATCTGTTGTACCATCACCATCGGCTCAGAAAACCCTCATCAAGGTTAAAAAAAAAACCAAAACAAAACTGAAGAAAGCATCTCTAGCAGGACTGCTCTCAGGAAGCCTTTGCTTGCTCAGCAAGATCCCTTCTGTGCATGTCCCTGGAGCCTTCATGTGCCATCTCATCACTTCTCTGGACTCCTGCACACCACCTACAGACCTCAGGGACAGTTAGTAAAGCACAGGACCCCTGCTGAGAGTGAACGAGAGACTAGCTCTAGGAACAGTCTTGTCACCTAACTCACCTTTCCCTGTTGCCTTTTCAGCAGCCTCCCCCAGGGCAGAGGGGCACTGGAAGTGATCAAGGAGACCGGAGCCCTCCTGCTCTGGGATTTTTCCACTGCTACATCTGAGATCATCCCCAAGGCAAGCAGGTACGTCTTGAGACCTGCCAAAGAACACTCAGAGCTCTGAGAATCTGGACCGGTGAAGCCTTTGGGGCAGGTGCAAGGAGCATGTGGCACCTGGGTAGGACAGCAAAGCCCCTGCAGGCGCTGCCTGGTCCCAGGCAGGACTAACAGCCTCCTTCAGTGCTGTGTCTTCTCCTCCTGACAGTGGCCAGCTGCAGAGCATGCAAGTGGAATGCCGATGCCTGTGTGTGCTGGCTAGCTGGCACAGAGAAGGTGGCAGCCACAGTCTGCTCTAATCAAGGCAATATGTGACCCCATTTTCCCACTGAAATGCACTGAAGAAAAGGGGTGGCCAACAGCTGTTTTTCAGGCCTCAGGACAGATTTTACCCACCCACGTTCTGGGTGAGGACCAGCACCACAAGAACAAGCGAGTCTCCAGCCAATTATCTGAAACTCACTACGTGATTTAGCTTTCATGCTGGGCTTCAGCTTTTCCCAGTACCAAATCTGAGATGAAGGGAAAGGTAAGATGTTTTCCCATCTGCCATGAGCTGCCCTACAATATGTGTACTTGGAGGATTAAACTAACTTGATTAATTTAAGGTGAAGTCGTGCTTTTTAAAAAGTCAGCTCTGAACAGCAAAGACAAAATTCAGTGAAATGCATGAGTAACTAAAGCAAATGACAGTAACTGCTGGCACCCAGACAGCATTGGAAATGGGCAGTTTCTCCCAGTAAGCTCAGTTACTAATTAGAATGAATGATTTCATATACTGCCAAATCTTCCTGGTTTTATAAGGCTGTTCCCAAAAGTGAATGGAGATGCTGAAAGGCTCGATTTTTCTTTTTCCCTTTCCACAGACAATGCAAATTCTTCTTCTAATGAAAACCTCCTCTCTCCATTTTGTATATGTGTTCATTGCTCTTTATACCCCAAGGACTTTTCACACAACTAGGAAGTGTGAATATTAGCAAGTCTGCCACTGCCTCTCCCAGCACACAGGTGATGTTTGTGCCTACCAAACCCAACCTCCCCTCAGCTCCCTGGCCCTTACCTTTGCCTAATGGCTCTCATGACCTGGTGTGCCCCCTCGCCCTGGTACAGCCAGGTGTGCTGGCTGTTGCGCACCAAGTCACTCATCTTCACTTTCTGGTTTCCCATGTACTTGTGGAAATCACGGATATTCAACTGCTTGAACTCCTCCAAACTTAGCACACCTGTGGGAACAGAGAAAAACCACCTCACTCTGGTGCAGGTAATAGTTCTTGCATCCTGTACTCAGAGAAACACCAGCTGAGGGCACTGAAGAAACTGCATTCCTCACACAGACCCCAGTCAGGGTCCACTGTGTCCACCACACCAGAGGCAGTGTCCCTTCTGCCCATGATCATGGGCTCCTGCAATGCTCTCGCCTGCAGCAGAGGACACAGAGCAACCTGACAGTGAATTGTGCAGTGTCAGAACTGGGACAAGCAAAACACCATTTTAAACTTTAAAAAGCTCCTGAAGCACACAAATCGATATATCAAAAGAGAGAAATAGACACTACAGTTCTGATATGCACAAGAAAGTCTGTGCCACTCAATGTCTTAAGGCTTTGTAGATATTTAAATCAACATGTTTAAGGACAGAGCACGACCTCCGACCACATCTTCTATATGACCTTGCAGGGTAATTAAGAAAAAGCCAAACCCAAAACAAGCAGTACATTCTCATGCATTTGTGTAACTGCAAAACATAAATGAGGAATACATGACAGTATGGTCTTGCGTAAATAGAAATAACAGAAAAACAAGAGGTATAAAACAGCTTCTCCTAAAACAGGTATTTCTTGTTCGCACTCAACTGGAATCAGCAAGGAGTGGACTCTTGCCTTTGTCAGCTTGAGGAAAATCCTCACATTTGTTTTTCCTCTTTCTGGAGAAGGGAAGCCTTGCACAGGTCCCTGATAGCAGCATGCAGTGCACTGCCCTGGGCTGCCCTGCACACACCATGGGCTGGAAGAGGAGCTCACTCAGGCAGCAAACCCAGTGCTGCTGGGTGCCAGCTCTGCTCCCTGGGCACGAGCACTCCCTGGCAGGAGGAAGGACCAGCCACAAGGGTCAGCCAGGGACAGTTCCTCAGGTGCTATGTCCTCAGGTCATGACCAAATGATCCATTGTTATTATTCCTTGTGTCTCTCTGTCCACACTTCCCCTTACTCCCCACAGTCTTTGATGACGCAGTGCCACATCCAGGTTGTGACCTGGTCTCTCAGTGTCATGTACCAATCTAACAACAGAGGGAAGCAGCACTCTGGAAGCAAGTTCTTGCCAACAGCCCTTTAACAGGCTGCAAGACAGAGACTTTCATTTGTTAATGTCCAGAATGGTGGAAAAGCCACTGAGGACTCAGTCATACCCCTGCCAAGAATGCCACCAGCCTGGAGGAGAGTTGCACAGGGTGCCCTCCGGATATTTATGCATTCACACTGCTACTGCTTCAACTCCAAAGCAGCTCCTCCTGGGCAGCTCTCAATGCCAGGTCACTGGAAGAGACTTAATTTGATTAGGAAATGGAGTGTTGCTTAATTGAGGCCACTCTAATTAGAGCAGCAGAGGTTAGAGTGTATGTCCGGACCAGCAGGAGCCCTTGGGAGACCGGGGCAGGAGGGGCAGAAGTGGCCTCATGGAATACAGAGAGGCTGCAGTGGCAGAGAGGAAGGTCAGCGCCAAAGGCTGACAGACAAGATCACCCCACCTCCACTTATTCCACTCTCCCCTCACAGTGACACGAGCCTCTTGGCCTGCTGCAAAAGTCTCCCTGAAAACGGGGGGGCATGCAATGTGTGTCTGTACACCTGCATCCCAGGTAACAAGAGGTCTGTAGTCAGAAGATCCTAAGATCCTGTTACAGCAGGGCATGAACCAAGGCAGGTCTGACAGGGGAAAGGGAGTGCAGAGCTGTGGTCTGGTCCTGCTCCAGCAAGATCCAAGCCCAGGCAGTGGGACCAGTTAGCTGCTAGATTGGTGATGTAGGAGCAGGAACGCTGCAGTAAGAGGTTTACCCTGCATTTACTTCCCTGAGAAGGTGTCTAGGGCAGTGCTACTTCCCTTCAAAAAACTCAGCTAGAGAAGAAGGCCTGGGCAGGGACATAGCTCTTGCTCTCCCCCATATGGCTGTGCAAGGCATCCAAGGTGCTGAGGGTGAAGGGATTCCCATGGAGCTGCTCTTACCATTCCCATCAGGATCAGCTTTGACCGCTGTGTACATCTCCCGGATGTTCTCAGGGGTCATCCACCTGCCATTTCCAAGCCGGGTATGGGTCAACACCTGAAATTCATAAATGGATCAAAAAAACCCACTGGTTTCTTGCACTCCTGAGAATCCCTGCATGAGGTCTGGTGCGATCTCCTCCACAGCACATCAGCCACACAGGCATCAGCCCATTTCTGCAGAAAGGTGATTGCAGTGAGAATCATCTGACAGCCACACACAGAGTGTTGCTGATGAGTGCTGTTATTTCCAGCTTAGGTCATGACAAATGAGAGCACAGCTTTCTCTTGAAGGGAAAGTAAAGCTATTGATGATAATATTGATATTGATGAATGAATGCTTTTACCTGTCCAAGGTAAGGGCTTGCAACAGAATTCTTCCCTTCAACAGGTACAGAGAGATGCAGAAGCCTGAACAGCTCTCAGCAGGCTCTGACCTCCAGGGAAAGAAGCCTTGCCCTGGGCTGTCACTGGCACAGCTGCCCATACTCCACAGCACTCATGGTGCACAGGATGGTTCAGACTCCCAGTTTCACCTGAAATGGGAGCCTGTTGAGGGACACGCTTGAACTGTCAGTACTTGCCCTGATGCACCCTGCCATACAGGGCAAGGGTGCTGAAGAGCTGTGGACAAGAGGCTTATTATTCCCCTCGTCTCATCAATAGGGGTGGCTTTGCTGGGGCTTGTGAATTCACACAGTAAGTTCCCCACAAGCTGCACAAAGCAGGGCCTACGTGACAAACTCACTTCCCAGGACACACAGCAAGAGGCAACAACCCACAGCACAGGAACATTTTATCCATCATATTCAAAACACACATGTCCTGCCAAGGACTCCCAATAGCATGACAACTGCTGCACATTGCCCAGAAACTTCCATTATGAAGACCAGCACAAATTCTGAGGCATAAAATTAAGCAAATTGTGATTGGTATATGCTGGGGTCTGGCCCCACCCAAGCACATGAGCAACCAAGAAAGCACCTGATGAGGTGATGTGCCAGAGGGTCTCCAGCAAACCTTCCCCAGTCTGTCCCACACTCTACCTCTTTGAGCTGCAGCTGCCCATCCTGATTGTGATCCAGCAGATTAAAAATGTCCATCTGGCTGATTTCAATCATTTCCATGGCTTCCTCATAGTCCTCTGTTGGTAGGATCTGGCTCTTCTGTAGTCCCTTTAGCTTTGCCAGATGGACAATGAGCTTGCACTCCTCCTCTGTCAGGAAGTCAGGGATTTCTGCAGAAAAAGTGTGAGCAGGAACAGAGACTGAGGGACTGTTACAGTGGGATCCCATGCTGGTAGCAGGAGTCTCAGGAAAAAAAAAATCAAAATAGGTAGGGGGAAAATTTAGGAACTAAGTTTGGGACATTCAAAAACATCCACCCTTCTACCAGAAGGGCTTTCAAAGAGCATACACCACGCACCTGAGCTGCTGGAGGTAGGTATTTTTATAGCAGCAGTTCCTAAATGTTTGGATCCTGGGGTCAAGCCCTTAAACTCTCTCACAGATACCACAATGGACAAAGCAGTGAACAAACACGTGCATATCACTGCATATTACCATTTCAAAGGTGCCATGTGGATCACAGTCTGGGAACTGTTGCTTTACCGGAAGGGAGGTCAAGAATCATTACAGCGGGCAGTGGTGATGGCCAGGGTTTCAGACTTCCTTGCTCTCATGTGGAGTGGATGGCACTTTGTACAAAACCAAACCCCTTGCAGGGGGGCATGGCACAGTGCTCTGTTATGAAACTCAAACAGAAAGGAGAAAAATTCTAACTTGCTCCCACTCATTCTCTTGATCCCCCACTAAAAATGGTCTTCAAATGCAATGTTAAAGAGGAAAATACTGCACATGGAGTATGCCAGGTATCTCCAGCTTTTCTTTCAGCACAAACCCAGCAGCAATCAGGCAATTCCACAATCCCAAGCAAATTAAAGTGCAGAGAAATCCACTGATGACCATGAAGCTAGGAGACTTCTAGCTGCATGGTACACTGGGCACACCTGGACAGCACTAGCAAGGTCCCATTCCAGAGCAGTTACACTGTGGCCCAGGAGGTTCAGAGGATCCTCCTGGCTGGTGTCTGTCACAGCTATGGTGACCTTGTTACCAGCTGCTGTGATTTTTGAAAAGGGGAAGAAAAAACACCAATGCAGGACAGGTTAAGTGCTCCTAGACCCAAGGCCCTGCTCTCCAAATTGCAGATCCCTGGAGCTCCTGCAGGTATGTGCCAAGGACACGTTATAAATCAACTACAACAGCAATCCTCAAATGGAGGGAGAACATTAATTACTTTCATGACCTGCAATCAACCCTATTGGCTCAAGCTGTCAATAAGCAGCTGGCTTCCTGCTAAGCACAGACCAGAACCAGCCCTGTAGAAAATGAGCTGTTCCTGGGAAGCCCCAGGAACACAATGCAGCCAGCTGTATCCATAACACACTCCAAGGAAACAATTTCTGCCACAGGCAGCACAGGGTCCTTGTGCCAGAGGATGCTTCAGAGCTGGAGCTTCTACTAACCAGTTTGAACCTCATGGCACAGCACCAGGTCCAAATGAACCATGTGCACTGGCAACCAACACCCTCAGTACTTCCAGTTCCCCAAACTGGGCTACAATAATGATGGTTTATGGAACCTTAATTATGTGCTGGAGAAAGAACAATTCCATTCTTCAGTGGTAGTAAGGGAATTTCAGAATGGAGTAGGAATTCTGTTAACTGGAAAGTGTGTGGTCATGCATGTTGCGAGGTGAGGGGGTTTCCAGCTGAGTGCTACCAATCCTGTCTGCAAACAACTTGGCTCCACAGCTGCAAATTAGTTCCTCTCTGCCCCCAGCTCTCCTAAACAGTTAACTTGTGGCTGTGAGACCATCCTATCTCCCTGCCTGCTCAACAATAGATCCAGCTAAACAAATGCCTCCTAATTGACTTTAAGCAACACTTGATTGCTTTTACAAAAAACAAAAGAGAGGAAAACATTACGGTTTATGAAATAATGACTAATCCTGGAGCAAGAGAAAGGGGATGGGTTGGAGCACTGGTGTCAAACAGAGATTCAATCTTGGCTGAAAGAGCCCCAAGACACATGGGCCAAGTCATTCACCCCTCCCCAACTGCCCTCATTTCCACACCTGCTGATCTAAGCCAAACCCCTGCTAAAATACAAACAATCGGGGCCGCTGGCAAATGAAAATTGGAGCATTGTCTTCCCCATGAGGGCTCTGAAAGGGCCGCACTTAATGAGGATGGATTGACAAAGAGGTGGCTCGTAGGCTATAAAAGGCATTCCACAGTCAGGAGCAGCTCAGTCCGGGGGTGTGCTGCTGGTTCACTTGCTCCAAGCATGGTCACGTCCTCGAGGTTGGGTGGCCCGTGGCTCCTGGGTCTCCTGGCACGCCTGCTGCTCTGGGGCTCTCCAGGTGCCTGGGCCAGCTACCTGAGGAGATCCTCCAGCTGCATGCCCATCCCACACCGCATGGCCTTGTGCTACGACATCGGCTACTCCGAGATGAGGATTCCCAACCTGCTGGAGCACGAGACCATGACAGAAGTCATCCAGCAGTCTTCCAGCTGGCTGCCCCTGCTAGCCAGGGAGTGCCACCCAGACGCTAGGATTTTCCTCTGCTCCCTCTTTGCACCGATCTGTTTGGACAGGTAAGATGCTTTTATGAGTTATTTCAGCTGTAATAGTTAACTCCCCTGAGGAGCACAACTCCTTGTGCCTCCTGAGGGAAAATGCATTTGGTGTGATCTATGCAGCCCCCAAGAAGCAGTGCTACTGCTCTCGGCAAGGGAAAATTGGATTACTCAGCAGGGAACATCCCTCTGAAAGCAAAACATGAGCATTTCACATCACAGGAGCAGAAATATGTTCCCTCCTTGGGGTTCTTCTGCTCTCTCACCCCAGGCACTGCTGCCACATGCCCTGGCCAGCCCCTCATACACTGCAGTAGCTGCTGGCACACACCAGCTTCACCTCCCACCTCCTGTGCAGCCCCTCACCCCAGCTCCTGCCCCGAACATATGGTTTCTCAGTTTCCCAGCTGCTCCAGCAGCAGAAGAAATTCCCAGTTTTGAGGTGCAGTTTTGAAAATATACAGCTGCTAAGGAAATTTCGCAGGCACCTGTAAAGGTAAGCAGTAATTGCACAACTAGAGAAGATTCCTAAGGTGAAAGGCTTCTGGCAGCTTGCCACATCCCTCCTGTCCTCAGAAATTCCTTGCTTGCTTCCTGGACATGAATGTTCAAAGAAAAGTCCCCAAACTGCCTGTTAACCCTTCAACACAGCCCTGTGCAGCGGCAGTGGTGTTAGGGCTCGACTCTCAGCCTCCTGGCAGGCATAGAGAGGCACTGAACACCCATCCCCTCCCCAGGCTCATCTATCCCTGCCGCAGCCTCTGCGAAGCCGTCAAGAGAAGCTGTGCGCCCGTCATGGCTTGTTACGGCTATCCCTGGCCCGAAATCCTCAACTGCAACAAGTTCCCTGCAGATCATGAACTGTGCATTGCAGCAGTCTCCATGGATGAAAATTCCTCAAGCAGGAGAAGTAAGAGGTTTTTTCTTAATGTATTTTTCCATATATAACACTGAAAGCTCAAAAGGATGATCCTATGACTTGTTTCTATTCTGCATATTTCTGGGTTTAAGCTGTATTTAAAAAAAAAAAAATCAAATTCTAGTTTTGTTCTCTCTGGGAACCGTGTATAGAAAATTAGCATGACATTGGCTGTGGCTTGTTCCTCTCTCTGCTGTATTCATTAGCTCCCTGGGTGCCATCAGACCCCGCAGGGTTTGGGGCAGGGGGAGGAAAGGCTGCAAAGCCTCCGGCCCAGGCACAGTGGGAGAGCTCATGGAGTGCAGACTCCCAGCAGCGAGATGTGCTTCCAGTGGAGCTATGGAGCAGCAGCCCAGATCTTTCAGCTGTGTCTAGGGCTTAAAAACACGCAAAAAGAAATGTTTTGCAAGCCTTCTCTGTAAACATTAGAAACAACATGAAGGGACATGAGCTTCTGCAGACATGAGTTACACTGGAAAAAAGTCTGTCTGAAGGACTCAATTAACACCCAGATACTGATGAACACTGGGGGAGATTCAAGAGCAGTTAAGGGGAGAACAGACATTTCAACATCTTTCAGCATCACTGGATGGAGTCTGGCCATACCACTGGTTTTGCTGTTTCATCCAAATTAGGAGATCTTCGTTAAGCATTTTCACCGCTGCTTTAACATGCAGCAACACACACAAGCCTGAACAAAGCATGACAAGCAGTGTCTGCCTTCACAGGAAGGAGAGTCTAAGATTTCCCACCTCGCCTGTCTGAGGTACCTCTCCAGGGCCTGGGTAGTTCAGGAAGAAGCATCACTAAGAAACAGCAAGCCACCACTTGCAGATCTCAACATTTCATTGTGCCTTTTCCAGTGAAGCTTGACAAGGGTGTTATAACCTAATTTCTCTTGCAGCAGTGCCCCGAGCCAGCTGCAAGGACTGTGAGCTTGAGGAGGCCAGCACTGCCAGGGAGATCCTGGAAAGCCTCTGTGCAAATGATTTTGGTGAGTACACTCCTCTTCCTCTTAACTGCCACCATTGCCTCCAACAGCCAAGCAGTGGCATGGACAGAAAACAGCTTTGCCATCACATAACTGACTTGGAGAAACTGCAACTTTCACAGCAGATCCCAGGGATTTTCAGTTTCCACCTTACCTGTAAGGTAGCAGGAGGAACCAGCTCCAGGCAGCACTGAAAGTGAAGACCTGATTTATTTCTGTGGGCTCTGGTTTGGTTTTGGCCTGTGAGTGCTAAAAACAAGAAGTATTCTGGTTTTCCCTTGCAGACAAACATTTCAATCAATGCCTATAAGAATCTTTAGCAAATTCCACGCCAGCTATTTCAAACTTTATTAGTGTTGTTCTAGTATTGTGACTGTCTCTGTCCTAGCCCAAGCAAGCAGCGGTACTAGTGCGGCACAATCAGATGGCAGGAATTTTTCAAGATACTGTCCTGCATTCAGGCACACATATAGAAAAATAAAGATATTTTTCAATAAAAAAGGTTACAAATCCTGAGCAGCTGTCAGTCATGTCACTTTCTGAAATCCCCACTCAGAGAAAAGTCAAGTAATTTGCGTAAGACCAGGACGTTGATGCATCTGCTTGCTTGTGCCCATGATTCCTCCAGAGTTTCTGCAGTGGTACTGATACATCTCTGCCCCTCTTAGAAGGGAAATGGATTGAGGAGAAGGCCTTTTCTCCCATGTAACAAGAGGACATGGCATCAAGCTGCAATGAGATGTTCAGATTGGGTAATAGGAAAAATTTATTCACCAAAAGAATTATCAAGCACTGGAACAGGCTGCCCAGGAAAGGGCTTGAGTCACCACAACTGAAGGTATTTGAAAGACATGTGGTTGTGGCACTTGAGGACATGGTTTAGTGGTGAACTGGGCAGTGCTGGGTCAGTGGTTGAACTTGATCTTTGAGGTACTTTCCAACCTAAATAATTCTGTGATTCTAAGAACAGTGCTCAGTACTGGAAACTAACCTCAAATGAGAACTTTTACAAGTTCACTGCAGCTGCAAAAGCTTGGTCAGATACCTACCCACATTACAGAGACAGCAGAGAAGCCTTGGGCTGTCTCTATGTCTTGAAGAAGGAGAGAGCTATGAAGAGTAAACAGAACTAACAGCTCTTTTTCCAACTCCTGCAGCAGTGAAAATCCGAATCCTGAGGAGGAACACCACCACCACCATCTCGGACTTTGACCTGGATCCATCCAAAGTGGAGGTGCTGAAGCACGGGCCACTCCTCAGAACTGAAATCCCTGCCAGGCTCCAGCAGTGGCTGGACATAGATGCCACCTGCGCCCACAACATCATGCGAGGCACTCAGGCAGGGGTCTTCGTTGTAAGTGGTGAAGTACAGAGTGACAAAGTGGTGGTGAACAAGGCCTATGCCTGGCAGAAGAGGAACAGGAACCTGCACCAAGCAGTGCGCAGGTGGAAACATCACCGCTGCCCCGAACAGGCGGGATAGAAGGTCTGAAAAATCTCAATTCCAGCAATAAGAAACTGCTCCCTTCCCTATGGCTAGAAAACTCCTTTCCCTGGCAGGTGGTGTTGTGGAGATGTACAGTGATATTTCTAGGTGATTTGAAGCAGTCATAGTGCACAGATAGGGCTTCACTACAGATCCCTGTTTTACCAAGACAGAGCTTAAGGATGCAGGTTTAACGTGTTCCTCTCGCACTGCTCTGTAGATCCAGCTATGTTCAGCTTTGCGCAGGATCCAACATCACAACAAAATGATGCAGGTGAGGACAAACTAGAAGAAACCTTTAATAACAGTTCCTTCTAGTTCTCATTATCGGAGCTGTATTTCAGATTCATTATTTGACCCTGAGACATTGATGCTGTCCAAGTGCCTACCTGCTTTCTGTTCAGAGATTACATGAAAGTCTCCCTGACTGTGAAGTAATATTTTTTGTGTAATGGAGCAAATACTTTACTCTTGAACAGTCTGAGGTAAATTAACAGGGAGAGGAACCTGCTTCAGCTATGCCCAGCCCAACTGCATGCTGAACTCTGCTCTTGAGTCAGGCTGTCCCTTCAGCTTCCTGCACTGAGAGTTGATGAGCATCCAGACAGCAAAAGGAAACAGCAATTCTCAAGCAGGACAGGCACAGAGCAGATAGCTGAGGGTTTCTACATAACAGGGAAAAAACTATTTTTCAATCAGAAATTCAGTGTTGATCAGAAGATTCTGGTAACTGAGGATATCACAAGAACCTTAAGAAAAGCAGAGTGTGAGTGAGACATCAGGTGTCCAAAGCTCTGCTTTGGTGTGAACAGCAGCTTTGCTCAGCCCCAGCACAGTAGGATATTGCAGTTTTGATATGGGAGCAGGGGAGAAACCTTCCACAGCTGCCTGGCCTTCCACCTGTACATAAGGAAGATAGAAAATACTGGAAAACTCAGTCTCACCAGGTTCTCTGCAGCTCACTATCTCACTCAAGCAGGACTGTGACTCCCTGCAGGGGCAACACTGTGCTCCAGACCACAGAGCAGAAAACAGCAAATCCCCAAATGAGGAAACAAGTTGGATTTCTACCGCCTAACAATGCACTGTCCGTGGAAAGTTTTCTATATTGGTTGAAACCTGTGGCTGAAATAAAAAACCAAAAGAAGCGTTAAAAACCAGCCTTTGGGAGGAATGCTTTCTGCCTTGCTGGTGACGCCTGCAGCGTTGGCCGTGCAGACAGCCGGTCTGCTGGAGCCACATTGCCTCCCCGTGTTCACAAGGCACAGCAGCAGCCCACGCCGCGGGCTCCCCCTCACACTGCTGTGGGCTGAACAGCGCTCAGACACTCACTGCAATTCAGCTGCGCCCTGACATTTGAGCGGTGCTTACTTCTCTTCCCTGAGGCTCAGAAGAAAAACACAGCCAAATTTCCTATTTTTATTCCTCTCCACTGTCTTGTCTTAGAAACCGCTGCCCAATCCACTGAATCTGCTGTCAGGTGGTCCCTGCAATGGCAGTACCTTTGGAACAGACTGCGTTTGGAAAACAAAACACATAAAAGCTCTGAAGGTTGAAAAGGCTTTGTCTGATTTGTTTTTCATTAGTAGGGCTATTTGATTACTACTGTTTCCCAACTGAAAACTGCACAGATGGTCTGATTTACAAGCTTTAGAAATGATGTCTTGTAGCCAGAGGGGGGAAAAATAGGGCAGGGATTTTTTCATAGCTCCATAAAATACATTGTGTTCCATACAGATGTGACTTGCCCACAACTAAAAACCAAGCCTAAAGTTCCCCTACAGTGCCCAGCCCGTGCTCTGAAGTCCAGAGAACACATTAAATCATTCATGAGCGTCTGCTGCTGTGGTCCCACTGCAGCCTGCTCTGCTGAGAGCAAAGATGATAGATCAGGCACTGTTTCCCTAAACTGGCTCTTGTATGCTGCAGCACTACATCTTAAATCCCCAGAAACTTTGCTAAGGGCTTCTATATTTACCAAACACAATCAAGTTAAAACCTCCACTAATTTAAGCAACAAAGATGCAATGAATTGGTACTGCTTGTATAGAGAAGTCTCTAGAAGTCTTCTAAGGTCAGAGCTGGCTCCTGTCAGGTTCATCCAGGAGATAAGACTTGTCTTGCAACTTGCAGTTTCTAAATAAGGGACCCCTTATCAGAGGACAAAGGAGAACAGACTTGTGGCATCTCAAATGGTGAAATGTCTGTTGCTGTCTCTGCTGGCATCCTCATGGTGCAAAGCTTCCCTCAAAACCAATGGAGGTGCTAGAACAAGAAGCTAAAAATTGCAGGATTACTGCTGCCAGGACAAACCTGCCTTTTATCATCTTCAGCACCTTCCTTGCGGACCAGGACCAACTGTTTCACTTCAGTGGTACTGGAAAGGCAGGGAAAGAGGAAACAGGAGTTTTCCCAGTGAAAACCAGAGCAATTGCCTCAGGCTGTGGCTCTGGTGATGACACCAGTTTTGTGATGCTGTGGGGTTATCAGCTCCAGGTTGGTGTGTCTGTTTAGTGAATGTCACACAGAAATCCACTAAGAATTTAATGGTGATGTTTTTAACGTATATGATCTATTTGGAATCAGAAAAAATCCCTCTGTTTATAATGAGAAAGCATCTGATTCTCTATGCTATCTTTCCAGAAACAACAGGTTTTCTCTGACTTTGCAATAGTAGGAATTTTGTAATGATTGACTCCTTCCCCTCAAATTATTTAGTATATTGTCAGTGGCTTTCCAGTACACAGAGTTAAATTAATGAGAGTTGACCAGTGACAGCAAAGCATCACAGAAAGGTAAAGAAGACTTTAAAATATCTGAAAGGCAGATATTGTGTGGTTGTGTATCAGAGAAGCCAAAAATAGAGATAAATCTAGAACAGGACACAAAATGGTGGAAAAATTTAAATCTATAAATTCTCCTGTCACTCGTTTTCTCAGTGCTGAAGCATCAATACTAAATTGTTTTTTTTCATAATTTATTAACAAAAGCTTGTCCTTTCCTGGTATTGAGCAGCTCCTTCAAGGTTCTTGCCAGCGATCTGGTGTCTATTCCTAATACTGTACAGAAACCTGAAAAACCTGGAACGGTTCATCTTCCAAATTCTTCAAAGTGGGCCACGCAGAACACATAACCTCTGCGAATTTTGCATCGACATACCTCCAGCGATACCACGCTCCTTTTAACGCAGCCCCAAGGAACAGCAGCACAGGGAGGTGATGCCAAGCCGCGGGGAGTCATTTTCCCCCGAGTGGGTGTGAGACAGCGGCGGTGTCAGACAGACAGACACGCACACCCCCCGCTCCGCCGTCAGGGCGGACACTCACCGCGCTCCCGGCGTGCCCGGCCCGGCAGAGTGGCCCCGGCGGGGCCGGTACTCACCGAACAGCAGCGGCTTGAGGCTGAGGGTGCGCACAGCGTGGGCCCTGCCGGGCACCAGCTCCACCCGCTGCGTGTGGCCGACCTGCGGGGAGAGCAGCGGTCAGCGCCCGGCGCTCACGGCCCCGGCCCCGGCCCCCGGTCGCGGCCTTGCCTTGATGCCCTCGAGGCGCGGGAGGGCGCGGGCGGGCGGCGGCGGCGGCGGCGGGGGGGCGGCGGGCGGCCCGCCGGGCTCGCCGGCGCTGAGGTGCACGAAGAGCAGCAGCCCCAGGACGTTGAGGACGTAGAGGTGCGCGAAGACCATGAGGACGAGGAAGTAGGGGCGGGAGCAGACGGGCCGCGGGCGGCCCCCCGGCGGGCCGGGCAGCGGGGGCCCCTCGGCCCGCGCCTCCGCCGCCGCCATCGCCGCGGCCGCCCGGCCCCGCGTCACCGCGGCAACGGCCCGGCCCGGCGGGCGCTGCGTCAGCGCGGGGCGGGCACAGCGGCGCCACAGCGACACGGCCCCCGGCCCGCCCCGGCCCGCCGCCAAGAAGAGCCGGGACACCGCCGAAGTTAGAAAGTCACAATTTATTTCAAATAAACCACGGGCACACCTCTGGCAACCGTCTCCCGGGCGGTTTCCGCCGCCCCTGCCCCTCTCCGGTGCCTGCGAAGAAAAGCGAGGGGTGGGAGCAGTCCTGTGCCCTCCCACACACCTCAACGCTGTCTCACAACCCCGACCAGACAGAGGCCGAGAAAGGAATTCCCAGAACAAGTGCCTCATTTAAAAATAAAGTTCTATTTTTCACCTGCTTAAAAAGTCTAAAATTTAGAGTGCAAGAGTAGAGTACAGAAACCTCCTGCTGCCCCATCTGCGGGCGGGCACAGAGACTTCGCTGCGCAGGGCAGCAGTCATGCAGTTTATGGTGTCAGTAGAAAACGTTTTGTTACAGTCTGGGAAGCCTGAGGACGAATAGAGATGAGGCAGCCAATGCACTAACACAAGCGAAGCCCAAATAAAAAGAGACGCAAGGATGGAGAAGTGTCGGGCTGGCACAGGAGCTGAAAACAAGCGCAAAAAAGAAAAAGGAGAGCAAACATTCCATGTCTGTAGCAGTAATGCATCAAAGGGAAACTTGTACCTCAGAATTAATGACTCCTGAGCCACTTTTTATTACCCTGCTAACACAAAGAGGGCCGTGTATTTATTAGAGGAAGAAAAAATGGTCTTTTCTTTTGGTGTTAAGAACCCCCATTTCCTTCCTGTCACCTGCCTCCTGAACAGTGTCATTCACCTTACACACAGAGCCAGCACCCCCTGTGCCCTGCACACTTTGTCTTGAAGACCATGACTTTCTGTACAACACCAATATAGAAGTGGTCCTGCCTGGGCTGCAAAAGCAAGTCCTATTGTTTTCCCAGAGTATGGCAATAGGATTTGTGGGTGCAACCCAGGGCTTTCACCGTTTTCAGAAAGGATGTTTTGTTTAAAAATAAATGGAACTGTGACAAAGCTCTAGTTTCAGAAAATTGGAAAGAATTAGTGGGTGCACTGTGCAATCTTTATTACTGTTCCTCAGCCAAGCATCTCAGCAGCCTGTTCAGTAAGCCTTACCACAGCTATATGGTCTGGCTTGTCTACAAACAAG